TCATTGGATGAAATAATCTCTCTAAATTAAAAAAAAAAAAAAAAAAGCCACAAAGAAAAGGAGCAGACCTCAAACCTCTGGTAAGTGGTGACAGTCTATTTGGAGACCAAAACTCTGTTAAGCAGAGGTGTGTTTGTGATGTTTCACATCTCATCCCTGAACCATAATTCCCCGTCTAACTCCACTTCCTTTCCTATCTGCTATCACACAGTGACATGCTCCCCCTGACCCAAAGCCTTCCAGCTTTCTCTGTTTTTATATCTGCAGAAAGATTTCATCTGCCATTTCCACAGCAAACATGAAGTTCAATTCCTCCTGAATTCTTCAAGCCCCAGGAGCCCCAACAATGAAACTGCAATTCATTAAAATCCTTGGGAGCTATTAAGGACCAACAATAAATAACCCAGATTCTGGCCCAGCCAGATCTGTGGCAGTCTAACAGATAGACAACATGGAGTTTTATAGGACTGATGAAGCAGGGAGCTTTAATGTCAGGAATCCCATAGAGAAAAACCCTGTAACCAACCTGCTGCCATTTAAAACAAGTACACAGTGTCTGAATGGCAGGGTATGCAAGTGTCTAACACCAAAAAAAGCAACAGTCTCTAGAGCAGGCAGGTTCTCATGCTTTCAAGGGGTTACATGCAAACTTAAAATGTTAAATTTTACTCTCAAAATAGCAGAATATAACCTTTGAAAGTCAGCATAATGGAGCTCTCCCAAATAGCTGGGCAGGTGCACAAGGCAACCCAATTCCAGTTTCAAATTAGGCCTTATGCAAAATACACCACATTAAACTAAGCCCAAGGAGGCAGAGGCCCAAAGAATTCTGCTATTTACTCAGTTGATACCATCCTTATTTCTCTTTCTTTAAATAAAAAAGCAGTTTTCCAAGATATTCCTGTGGCATAACCCATTCCTTATGGGTGTAATTTGTCCCTCTAAGGTCTTGTGCTTTTCTTGATGTTAGAATTGCTTTGTTTGGGGAAAAAGTTACAAGGGGAGACATGATACATCTTCCAGTTTGTAAAAGGATTTTTATGTTGGGAAACAGAATAAAACGTTTTCCATACTTCCTGGGAACACAACCAAAAAAAAAAAAAAAACACGCTTAAATTGGAGATACAATCATTTAGACTTAAGGAAAAGCTTTACAATTGTAAGGATAATTAACCAGTGAAATGTACTACCTGGGGGGTCAATAAATCCTCACCACTGAGGATTTCAAGACCAAGTTAAGCAAAGATCTTAGTAAATCTCAGTACCATTCTTCATGAAGGAGATCAATACTGTGTCACCCTCCTCTTACACAGGATAAAACCTAAAGAAAATGGCTGCATTTCCAGTGTGAGAAGTGCCATAGTGTGTCCAGTCCCAGACCAATTCACTAGTCCAGTAAGACTGCTTCTAAATTAAGCAATAGCTACCAGGACTGGATGTCTTTCTAGGTAACAAAACCAGATATCCTTTGCTCCAACTTACAGACTGGATAAGTAATGTTCTTTAATCTTAGACAATTAGAAAACTCATAATCAAAAGCACTGAGGACTTCTCTTGTGTGATACCTTGGCAACTCTGGCATAGTTAGAGGAGGCTCTGGAGCATTTCCTGAATTTTGAACCTTCTCAGCTTCCATCTTGGTTTCTTTCTCTGTATCAGCTCCATTAACCCCATGGCTCAACAAGGGGGTATCTGTTTTCTCTGGTTCCATTCTCATCCTGGGAATCACCTTACTTGTCTCTTGCCTCACTTCAGAATATGGGGTTTGATTTATTTCAGAGGAATCGATCTCTTCCCGGATTTCTGGATCCTGTTCTATGCCTTCAAGTTTTTCAGATGGGGTAGAGATTTCATGAGGAAGCTCTGAGGCTTCCTTACGGGCTTTATGGAGTTGTTGCAGTAGCATGCTTTTTGCTGAGCAATTCCTCCTGCAAAGAACATAAAAACCTCAGTTAACCAAGATAAAGCATTATATGAATAAATTCAAACTCAGAGGAACTTCTGAGTGACAGCTCAAATCAAGGACTGGACATCTACACAAATAATAGCTCTTGGTAATAGCAGCAACAGCACACAGGCAACAGAAAACACTGCAGTGACAGAACATGAGACTGATCTTACAGGCAATTTAGTCCCCAATTCTGGATTGCAGGCACAACACACAGCTTCCAGACAAGCCCTGAGCAAATGTGATGTTGGTATGGAAGTTAGAGTCCACAGATTTTTGCCCCCTTTGGATACAAGGGTTGGGATTCACATACATACATAAGAAAAGTTCTAATAATTTTTAGGATTTTTGTGTGTTTGGCTTGATTTGATCTACGTCTCCTCCAGGTTAATGAGACAGCTAAATTGTCAGCAACTACAGTATTGTGATAGTATTCTGTTGTGAAATGTCCTGTCATGACATAATGGGAAGATACGGTTACGTTGTCTGGCAGTTCTGCTTAGTGATGAGTTTCCCAAGTCATGTGCTCCAGGAAGACTACCCTCACTTAGTAGCTCATGTGGTGATTGTGAGCAAATAATATACTTTATTTTAGTGGTAGCTGAAAAGTACATGGACTGAGTAACAGATTGAGTTGGATATTAATGATGTGGTTAGGTGGTATGAGCACACAGCATCATACTGCTGTACTTAGCTAAACTAAACCTATGCTTCTCAGAACAAAGAAAAAACAGAATATTCTTTCTCCTTAGGAAACTCCCATCTCCTGCCATCATATTCAGAACTATCAAATCAACATTTCACACTGATGGCTGGACTACTAAGGAGTAGGCTTAAGCAGTCTTAAGGAGAGAGCAGCCTTATGGTATTGTGCTAGCGATGGCGCTGACTACCCAAGCACTCTAGATACAAGTGTATTTTTCAGGCTAAGTGGGTGGAGATCAAACCAACTAACTCTCCAAGGACCTAATATGTAGGCATATTGTAGTACTGAATATGTAGCCCTGTTTAATAAATCCATCCAGATAAGAGTGAAACTGGCACTGACCCCTCATGAATGAGTTGAGAATCTTGCCCTACTGAGCCCCTGAGGGTTTTTTATTTAGAAACAGCACTGAGTAACATTTGCCAAGCATTTCATTTGTGTATGTTCTTTAGCAACATTAAAACAAATCAAAATCCAATCTGCTAAACTCTGCTCTCCATCACTCCAGATTTACACTGATGAAACTTCTGCACTTGTATCAGTGCCAGTGAGAGTTCCCCAAGCATCATCCTGTCCCTGCTTTATGCTGGCTTTAGATCAGATGTTCTACATTATATTGGTTAGGCTCCATTCCCCATCAAATCATTTATTCTTTTAAACCAATAAAAAAAAATTAAAAGAGTGATTGGGTGGCACGACATTACAAGTGTTCTTCTTGCCCATCTGGACTCCTGGGATGTGAACTTACATGCACCAGGCTTCTAGGCGTAATGCAGAGCCTAAACACAGCAAGATTTAACCCAGAGCCTAAACACAGTAAGGTGTTTAAAACTTGACGTAGCTGCTTCACATTAAACAAGTTTCTAACAACCTATGGGTATAAATCAAGCCCGAGTTTAGCAGCAAGAGAGGCTGGCATCTGTGCCTACTAAAGAATTTACAGTTTAGGATTCCATCCATCACATTCTCTCCCCTTTCCCCTCTTCCTCTCCCCCCAGTTAAGGAGACTTGAGATCATCTCTGCCCACAGTGTATTCAATACTCTTTTTAAAATCAACATCCATTCTAGCCTATTTTATTATTTCTAAAAATAAAGGTTTGTCCGAGTCAGCTCCCTACAACACTTCTGGTTTGATTCTGAGTTGTTTAAAAAACAGTTCTCATGTCACTAAGGCAAGTTTGGAGAAAGCACCAGGTCTCCCCAGCCACCCTGATTACTGTCTTTTGAGCTGTGCCCATGAAGCTGTACAGGACCAAGATGCAACACTGCCTCAAGGATCAACAACTATTTTCTAGCTTCAGTATCTTTACTATGCAACAGAAAATGAGTGATCTCCTGGGGCCAGACTGAAACACTGCTGTTATTGAGCTTTTTCACTGTGAAGACCAGAAACAGGGATATTTCAGTACATGTGGTCTCTCTAAGCACTGTTAGAGCAATTATTTTAGTTTCAGGGGAGGAAGAAAAAAAAAAAAAAAAAAAAAGAGAGAAAAAAAGAACATCATGTCATTTGCACTAAGGCCCTGGTAAAGAATCTCACCTTCTCCTTTCTGTTTGGTCCTCAGTCATCATAGTCTCCTCTTCTTCAGTGGAGCTGTCGCTTGTGCTGTGAAGCAAATTGGACCATATGAGTTAACTCCGCTCCAACTGGGAGTTGGCTTTTTGTTATTTCTAGGATGCGATTTTAAAACCGTTATCAAAAAGAGGTGATAATGTCAGGGAAGATCTCCAGGTGTTAGTTCTTCACAGTAGTACTCTTAAAAAAAAAAAAAATCCAAACCAAAACAACAACCACAACTAACCAACTAAACACAAAACACAAACAAAAAAAAAAATCCCAAACCCACACAAACAAAAAAGCCCACACAAAAACCAAACAAAAAAACCCACAAAAGCCTCCCCCAAGAAATGAACAAACAAATAAACAAAAAAAAAACAAAACAAAACAAAACCAACCAAAAAACAACCACAACAACAAAAAAAAAAGAAAAAGAAAAAAATTAAGGAACTACAGCAAAACCTGGTAGTGTTTTTTAAACTATCAGCTGTTTATTAACTGCAAGGTTTTCTCTGGTGACTGTTTTTTTCAACCCCTTGCTCCAGCAAATGTACATCTTGCAAAGGGAGCAAACAGCTACCTCAGACATTGTTAGCTCTAGGGGGAAGAACATCTTTGCCAGCACCTGCTGCAGTCTGAGAAAAATCTAGCCTCTCAGCCCTGACCAGAAGGTCCTCTTATCGCACAAGAGACAGAAATCGGCACCTACTGTTGCTTGCCAGGAATGCAGCAAGCCATGTCCATTTTGTACCCAAAACATAACAGTGGACCAACCTCTCCAGCATTGCTTTGAAGTCCCTGCTCACTCCTTTATGGGTGGAAACTTTGTAAATGTGATTTCCCTGGATGTTTTGCATGTCCTGTCTGTGCTGCCTGCATGTCCCCATATTGACATGTTCTGAGACAAGTTACTCTGTTTTAAGAATATGCCCATGCTCAGATGGGGCTATACTTTCCTACTAAGGTCACAGAGATGGGGAAGGTGAGAACACTTTAAAGTTATTTCACAAGTACGAGCTGCAGAGAGGTTTCAGCTTCTCACTTTTTGTTACTGACGTCTCACTAACAATAAAGCCAGGCTTTACCTTTGTTGCTCATGAGGGAATGTTACCGACTTCTGTGGTTTAGCATCTCTCAGATCGATGTACACGGTTGCAGGCTCTGGCAGGCTCTGTAAGCTCACCATATCCATCCTTGAAGAACTTCGTGGAGATGATCGCAAGGCAATATCCCTAAGCACAGAAAACACTGTTTCAGCATGTCCTCACCTTAGCTAGACAAGAAGCCCGGCAGGGTGTGGATTATGATCAAAATGGATTGTGAAAGGAACTTTGTGCTTGGCTACTGCACAGATTCAAACTCCTCTTCTGCCTACTCTCCACCACCTTTCAAAGCTGAACTCAAAGATTCAGCTTCCCCCAAGGAACACAGACTAGAGGCAGCATGATGGTGGACACTTAGTTCTCAAAACCTGACAACATCAAATTGTTCTGCAGTAAAAAGGCAGCAGTTATGGTACCAAAGAGCTTATGCCCATCAGTAAAAAAGAGGTCCCTTTTTCCTCTCTGCCTCCTTTGGCAATTCTATTTCATCCTTCAGAGCATAACATAGTACAAATCATTCTTATGGCTCTCCCTGCCCTCAAAATGAGGATATTCTTCACCTTCCCCTTTACAGGCCTGTTTCAACTACTGTTTCCTCTGTGCTGCCACCAATGATGATGTTCCTTCCAAAGAAGCTGGAAATCCACTTCCTTCACACTGAGCTCTCCAAGATGCACTGACACCTCCTCCCCCCCCAAAATAATCCTGTATACTTTAGCTAAATTGAAGTACCAGTAAGGGAAACCAGTACAGATGACAAAAAAATGTGGCCATGATAATTTTCTTTGCCTTGTTTTCCCATTTTTCCCACTTGTCCCAGTGTCTGGTGAGGTCTAGACAAAGATGGTAATTGATGCTAAGGTTACAGGATAGTGTTTACTATCAAATGTACATGTATGGCAGAGTCTTACTTATTCCCTTTAACATCCCTGTAGCATATCCCAACTACAGTATCAGCTTTCTGCAGAAGCTACAGAGAAAAGCCCCTGTAGAAAACCATGAGTTTCCAGGTATCCCTACAGGCAGTCAGGATTACCCAGTGTATATGACAGAAAAGAACCTACTTATTCTCCTGCTGTTCTTGAAAGGAGAGCTTGGCTCGTGACCACCTGCAATATGGAGACACTGTCATGGACTGCCTGGCACACAGCTCTTCTAGTTTTAACATGAGCTGATTTTCAGATCTTCTCCTGAAGGTGCCTACGGAAGAGCAACAAAAAGACTCACCAGCTGTGCTTCACTGCCACAGGATCACCCAATATACTTTTTCCCCAATTTCACATTGCCCCTTTCTCCACAGCCTGTCAGAAGGGGAAGGGTAAAGGTACTATTGTCACCTGGCTCTGACTTGCTTCAAACCTCCATTCATCCATGGCAGGCCACGGAGCACTGCTTTCAAGCTATGAAAACTAGATGAAATCATAGAATCCCAGACTGGTCTGGGTTGGAAGGGACCTTAAAGCTCATTCAGTCCCAACCCCCTTCCACTAGACCAGGTTGCTCCAAGCCTCATCCAACCTGGCCTTGAACACTGCCAGGGGTGGGGCTTCTTGAGGAAAACCAATTAAAAATATTTTACAAAGGCATTAAAAAACTCACCATGTTTTCAGCATTCAAAAGGATGCTGCAGATAATGACTTAAACACAGGAACCTGAGTTTTATTTATTCTTACAGACTTTCAGCAAAGTTGGTATTAATTTAGCAGTGTTACCATCATCTGCTGAGGTGAAAGCAACTTCTGCATGAGTGTTATCTTTCTGCTGCTCCAGCTCCTCAAGAATCTTGTCTAGATCCCATTTCTCAATACTCTGAAAGAAGACAGCCAGGATGTGATGTAAAATTCACTCCCAAGAGACTGATACAAAATAAGTCTCACATTATTCATAATAACTCCATGGGATTCTCCTGGCACATTTAAATACACAAATGGCATAGAAGCTCACCTTACTTACTCCAGTACTATGCCACTGTTGAGAGATATTAGTTATTTAGCATAAATAAGTTTTAAATGGTTTGAGTCATTTAGCATACTAAACCACACAATACTATAGCTCTGTTTGCTTAGTTTTACTTGCTTAGCATGAGCAGCTAGATTTGCTGAAGCCTTAGGCCACAAGCTGTGGACTTGCACTTAGAGATTCCTTCAGCTGGACTAGAGTAAATTTTCTTAGTAATTTTCCTAGAACCTGGTGTAGCATTGTGTTTTGTCTTTAGTATCAGAAGAATATGGTTAATCCATTGATGTTTTAGTTGTGGCTAAGTAATGCTTATCTTACATCTAGGAGTGTTTTAGTGTCCTATGCTCTGCCAACAAGAGGTGCACAAGAAGCACAAACCAGAAGATAAGGAGGCTACAGCCATCAGCAGAAGCTGCAATTCACAAAAACAGTTAATGCCTGCCTGTGTGAAGCAGAGAAGGAACCTAATAGGGTATTAGAAGTCCCCAGACCAAAACTCACCACTGGACTCCAGTCCCAGCAGTTAAAGTTTTGGGTGGTGCTTGTGTGAATGCTCAGGCAGCAGCTTCTCCCGTAACAGCCACTGTCACTTGCCAGTAGATGAACTGGTCTCTCAGTCTGAACACAGTTGTTTCAGTGTGAGCCTCAGTGGTTGGAACAACTAAGAGCAGGACATTTGCTGTTTGAACACTACCTGCCTCACAACACTGCCAAGGTGCTGCATCTAGCATAGCCAGATGCAGTATAACTGCTATGAGAAACCAGTGAAGGACTAACCAGTGTTCATTCAAATAGAAGAAGGTGGAGTACCCTCTCCTTCCCTACTTAAAACTGCAAAGTCTAGAAGAATCTTTTCCCCATGGTGGAGTCTTCCCCACAGCAGGTACATCCCTCAGACCCACTAACAGTACCAGATGCCAACATGTTTTATTTCCCCTCTGTCCACACCTTCAAGTACTCTTCCCTTAACCTTTCACCATCTCCAAAAGAGGATATCCCTAACTACAGTGCCAGCTTGCTTTAAGCAGTTCCACGAGGAAGTGCTATAATGAAAACAATGCATTTACTATAGCTCTTTCAGCAGCTCATCTATCCAGCTGTTTCATCTACTTCTGCTTGGGTTTTTTTCCTCTGAGAATCATGGACCCTTTTGATATAGGCTACAGAAAAACACAGGAGATAGTAAAACAAATTAAAAGATGGCCTGATACAAGACCAAATATACATGTTCTGAACCAGAACAATGTGGAGAACTTCTCACTGTCACCAACAGGAGAAGAACTTTCAGCTTTTCTGTTCTTTGAGATGAGGCACATCACAGCCTTTTCCTCCTTGTCCAACTTCCACCCAGGGCACATTCCCACTCCTCTAGGCCCAGGCAGCATCAGATGCAACTGACAGCTGCTTATCTGTCCTGGGTTCAGCTATAGCAGTCGTTTTTTCTCCTTCTTAGTAGCTGGTGCAGTGCTGTGTTTTTTGACTTTCAGTCTGGGAACAACGCTGATAACACCTATGTTTTTAGTTGTTGCTCAGTAATGTTTACTCTGACCAAGGACTTTCTCAGTCTCATGGTCTGCCAGAGAGGAAGGGAAGCCAGGAGGAAGCAGAGACAGGACACCTGACCCAAACTGGCCAAAGGGGTATTCCATACCACAGCACGTCATGCCCAGTATAGAAACTGGGGGGAGTTACCCGGAAGGACCAGATCGCAGCTCGGGTCGGGCTGGGTATTGGTCAGCGGGTGGTGAGTGGTTTGTGTCCTCTCCCTTTGTTATTCCTCTTATCATTATTGGTAGCAGTAGTGGTTTGTATTATACCTTAGTTACTGGACTGCTGTTATCTCAACCCGTAGGAGTTACATTCCTCCGATTCTCCTCCCCATCCCTCCGGGAGCGGGGGGAGGAAGGAAGAGGGAGGGGAGTGAGTGAGCGGCTGCGTGGTTCCAAGTTGCCGGCTGGGCTTAAACCACAACATTATCCCACACTGAAGACAGGATCATCAATTTTGTTGCTATGAATCACATACAGTGGCTGTGGATATGCTCACACTGCACACTGCTAACTTAGGTATGAGAACCAGCCTGTGGTGACAAAAGCTTACATGCATTTAAAGCATTGATTGCTTTCCCCTTTGGATATTAGCTGAAATTAAAGTTTTAACTGAAATATCATCACTAGAGCTTAGACGTTTCCATGATTCTTTAAAAAGGAAGGTGGCTGTCAGTTATGACAATTGTGTCACACTCAACGTGCATTTCATGTGACCACTCAGGTCTTTAGAAAAGCAGCAGCAGCCTCCCAAACAAGGAGTTTCACCCTGTAAAAACCTGTCACCTGCCCCTGCCGTCTAAGAAGGGATTCTCACTTTTCCCTGAGTGAGAATACATCCATCCCTTCATACATACCTGGACCAGGACTAGATCTATTTTAATATTACACACTGCAGGTGATGAAAGGTAAAAGCCTGATGAGAGTCACAAGCTGAAGTCTCACACCACACAAAGCTAATACTGGTTCAAGGATGTCACTGAGGTGTATTGGTCTGGAGGAGTGAAGGATGGCTGACGAGAGATTACTGCAGCAAGAGTCACGTCACAGGGCAGTGCAGGTGCTGTTTTATCAAAAAGCCTGACACACGCATTTGCTTTAATTACGGTGCAGTTGTAATAAGCTACTTTTTCAATAATACTGCTTAAGTACAAACCATTATAATAAAAAGCTCAAACCACCACCTCAGCTGTTGTATTAAGGCTTTCTCCTCCTAACCCTTAACAGGAGTAGCACTATTGTAAGGTACTATACAGGGACCAGAAAAAAAAGAAATGAAGTTTTGCACAGTTCCATTTCTAATACAGAAAGGGACTTAAGGGAAAAAATATTTTTAAACAAACTGGTATGATTAAAATCAAGAAGAAACTGTATATTAGTTTTAACAACTTCACTTGACATAAACTGAGGTTTAGGTTAAACCTTGCTAAGCTGGGAAGTAACAACCACCTCCCAAATCTAAATATACACACGAAGGATAAAGCTTTGCCCTCCCTTTATCAAAGTGAGAATACACTGAGCCTGGGCTCAGTACTCACCCAAAAGTATCAGACTTCAGTCCATTGAAGTCAGTGATATCAAACAGGTTCTGAAAAGACAACCACACTTCCTGAATTAATAGAGCAACTGACTTACATGAGATGAGATGGGAATTAAACCCTGAACTACTTGGAAAAGATTCCCTCCAATAATGACACAGTTAAATGATTCAGCACAGTTTAAAAACAGGCAACCAGCTGCATTCTTTGCCTATACTAGAACAGTTCTAAAACCAAAAAGTGCATTTTTGTGAGCATAGATGAAAGGGGAAGGGAAACATCTGTACTCTGATGCTATAGAAGGCTTTGAACAGCACTATCAGGTTCATGTTCTGTGCTGATTAAGTCTTAACAACCTTAAAGATCAATACAGGAAGTAGAGATGTATAACTAGTACTGAAGAGAATCACCTCACCATGCTGGGGCCACAATACCAGTTAAGCACACACAAGCTGGTCCTAAGCACCTGCTGTAGGTGGGAGAAATTTAAGGCTTCACGAACAAGCCTAGCCATCTTATCTCCTCACCTCCAGCACTTCCACAGTGTTACAGAGAAGACTAAATGCTGAAAGGCCAGAAGGTTCACTGTTTGAATGCAAAGTCTGCTGGGACCAGAAGACCTCCTCCCCAAGGAGAGAGGTTGTGGTTGGCTCTCCTGAATATGACCATGAACCAGGCAGCTGACTCCATGGCTTTTGCTCTCATTATGGACTTCTAACAGCTCTGCAAGAGCATTTGGTAACTTGTATAGCACATGACCCAGCAAAATTCAAACTCAGAACAATGAGGAAAGCCATAAAGAACACCATGGTGTGTGCAGAATTGGGCATTTCAGTTCTGTATCTTAATAGGATTCTGCAATCAATGCTCTGTACCTTCTACTCAATGAGTAGCACTCTCCAAAACATTTTGTTTGGGCCACTCACCTGCAGTGACAGATGGGTCAGTCCTTGAAGGTGATCTGAGGAGTTTTCTTCCTTATCAGTTCTTTCTAGACTGTTGCTAACATCATGGGAGGGAGGCTTGACATCTGGCTCTGGGTGACCTGGTGATGGTTCCAGGACTGTTTTGGAGAGTATTTTTGTCTCTATCAGTTTTCTTCTCTCTTTCCGGCTGCTCAAATCCTCCACAGACAATGCAGTATTAAACCAAGAGTTCCAGCTTTCCCTGGCCTGTGTCCTGTCCGGTTCTTCCTCTTCAAGGCAATCCGTGGACTCTGCAAGAGACTCTTCAAAACCAGCTGCCTTTTGGCTTGGTATTTCTTCAGTATAGCTGGCAAGATTGGGAGTCTCATCTTTAATCATTTGTACATCATCTTTTGCAATGATTTGGGCATCATTTGTTTTTTTCTGAAAGCCAAAGCTTTCTAGATCTCCACTCCAGATCTCCCGTGGATGGCTTTCTTTTTCCTGGGTTTGCTACAGGCAGAGAAAATACACACAATTAGAAAGTCATATCTTCCTGAGCTTTGGAAGCTGATGATAAACAAAGCCACAGTGCTTAGAAGACAGCAGCTCCAACTCAGACACCATCTGGAAACAGCACACACCATATCAATCATGGAAAACAGTTTAGACTGTTTATTTTCCAAAGACTAACTTCAGGAAGTGCTAAATATTCCTTAAAATTGATTTTCCTTATATGTGTTCAACACATAACATTCCTTATAGTAGGTTAATTGCTTGATTAGGAAAAAGAAGCACTGTGTTAGTCTTGTCACGATGGAAGAGTCGGGTCAGCTGGTGCATCTTCCAATGCTGGCTCATTTTCATCACTGCAGAAGAAGCAGTGTAACAGTTTCATCTCAAAAACACTGTTCAAGGGTTAAGCTTCATACTTGTCCCCCTCCCTGCTCTGTCCTAAATGATTCTCTATTTTCTAGATACATAAAATGGTTGCTGAAATTATTTCAAACCCTGCAAAAGTTTAAGTCATTGCACAGCATTACTGTCACTGCACAGGAAAACAAACAAACAAACACAACTGTAAAAGACAATAATAGAAACTGAAAAAAGGGTCTAAAAATCTCAAGAACAAAGAAAACTGCATAAAGAGAAAGAAAAAACTAGTGTCTAGGGGGAAAGGTACTGGGGACTCTGCTCTTCCATCACACACTTCAGTCAAACTGGATAAATAACAGCATCTACCCACACTGGTGACAACCAGAAGAATGGGTCTACAGTAGTAGAGCCTGGACACAACAGTCAACAACCTGCATGTTTGAGTCTTCCAGGGAAAACTCCATCAGTTCTTCTGACAGATCAGGAATTAAGTTTGGCTGTTCCCGCTGGAAGATGAAAAGCTCCCCATCACTGTCACAGTCAGACTGCAACCAAAAATAAAGAGAAATTAAATGAGGCTGTAACACTCACCTTAATATCCATTTTGAGTGACAAAACCTATGTTGCCATCACATGACTACAGTTCAGACACAAGAATTTTCTTTGCCATCACATATCCAGCAGTTTCACAGCCCCAAACATGACTGTCTTACAGTGACCTAACATTTGAGCAAGCTACAATTGTAAAAACCATGTAAAACATTGAACTACCATGGACATTGGTGACTAGCATCCCTCTGAGCAAAGCAAGGACAAGAGCGAGCAAATTCTCTAACTCCCAACCGATTCTTTGCACTGCCTCATGCACCATCACAAAGTAACAAGAGCGGTACTGCTCCCTGAGGGAAGGGGAAATCACATAAACGGAACTGCAAAGCCCAGTCCTACAGTACCTCAGCAAAGTAAGCAGGACAAACCAGAAGTAGCAAGTAGGCTGAGTCAAGAATCTGAACAGAAGACAGTATCATGGTGATGAGGCAGGTCAGAGATCAAGCCTAAATGTCAGGTCACAGGCTGGACCAACGAAAATTGTAACTAGAAACCAGTACTCTTCCAACACAGCTCAAAGAGTGAATGCCCAGAGCTGAGCTTAAATAGAGCTGCTGAGCACATGGATGGGAGCCCCAGCTGAGGCTGGGCAGGGGCATGAGGCTTATTATTGCAATCAGGAGCCTGCCATTCGCTATTCAGGATGCAAAGCAGCACCTGCTTGGTTGGACAGAGTTTAAATAGCTTTGAAAACCTCTTTTCTGAACATAGGACATGTATTTGAGATTAATCCTTATGCCTAGATACCAAAGTGAGATTAAGCACTTCCTCAGCAGTCAGGACACAGATTTCCTGATAGTCCCTTTGTGTGTGAGTATGTTTTTGATAACTCACACTGTGGAGAATTCTGTCAGGTATAATTAATTTTTCTTAACGTGAAGCAAACTGCAACAGAATTTCTTTCCTCTTAATAAATTGTGTATCAGGGTAATGAATGTACTTCAGGACACTAAACACATTTCTCAGTGCTGGTTTTGAATGCAGGAGCATGCCACATTGAGGTTACAGATCTCAGATGCATAAAGGTATCTTCACACAAGTGGAAACCACTTGAACAAAGGTGCAGTACCAAAACTGCAGGCTCAGCAGGCAACTGGTCCACACTAAGCAAGACGAGGATTGTACAACCAGATCTTCTCAATGCAAATTAAGGGTAGCATGTAAGCACCAAGCAGATTGCCTCTAGCAGGAATTTCCTTTCCAGATGTCACAGAAACAGAGAATTTGGAGGTTGCTTACAAGTAAAAATTTCAACATGATTTATAGAATGGTATTGTCACCAAATTGTCACAAAGCTGCCTCTCTGTTTTAACCTTATTATACACTTACATGGTGAGAATGCCTAAAAACAACTCCTGAGTGTTGAGCCTTAACCTATGCTATATAGACACATATATAAATGCAATGGTTGTTTTAAATAACTAAACCAGAATGTGGGTAGAGGGGAACTGAGAAACACTGAGGCATTATAACTTGTCCCACATGTTAGAGACAGAGCTGGGAGCAGAAAACCAGTCAAGGACTCCGTATCATCACTTTATCCAATAGCTCACACTGCTTCTGATGATTGACTAATAATACGTAATAAATACCACATGAAGGCATTTCTGGCTCCTTCACTGCTCACAAGACTCCCTTTGTATCAGTAAGGGCCACACTAAGAATAAAATATATCCTTTCAGTGTTAAAAAAAAAATAAAAATTTCAAGTTTATACATGCTTGAAAATTAACAAAATATTCTGATTTAGATAAAAGACCACTAATAATCTAACCTTGAGACACATTTTCACCTCAGAAAAGTCAATGCCAGAGGTAGCATCTTTCGCCAGAGAGGCTTTTATTTCCACCTGACTGTCACTGTCATGTGAACAGAGATCTTCAACAGCCATGAGGCAGCCTGTCCCAGACACTAAGACCCAGCAAGTAAAACCTGTAATGGTGAAGCATACTGCACAACATCTATCAGTCTTAGGCTTTATGTTAAATGATTTGTGCATTATGCTGCTTTGCAGGTAGCATTGAAGCACAAAAAAGTAACATGGCCTGTGAAGAATTACAGGCAGGGAAAAAAGCAGATTGAAATATCTGCCAAATGCTTTTTCCAGTGGACCACAAAGTCTTCAGGAATATCACTTCCCTGTGATCCTCATACATAGAAAAACATACTGACAGGGCTACAGTCTGGCAAGTACATTACTGGAAGGAGTAGCTTAACATGCTCATGCATAAAACCTTGTAATTTCATTTTAAATCAGCAGTATGCTTCTTTCATACTGTATATTTAACAGAACAAAGAAGAAATGTGGGTTCATTCTGCAAGGTGCCCACTGCCCTCTTCTTCCCAACCTGGGAATACTCATTGTCTGGAGAAATCAGTCCCATTATCAGGTTCCAAAGAACACAGCAAGAGGAGATGGCATTTACACTTTGCCAAATAGAGATAATCCAGAAGGCTATGGATTAATGCACAATGTTCCTATATTCAGAACAGGTAGCCCATGGAGGATACCATGCTAGCTACTGGGAAATGCCTGGCTGGGGTGACCTTCTCTTGCTTGGAAGAGATTTTTCTAGAAGACAATGAGAAAGAAAGACAGGTTCCAGTGCTTACTGTGGAGTCATCAGAGTCCAGAGATGGGAGCTGATCTTTCACTGCCGCAAATATGGCTTCCCATCGAAATGTTCTGCCACTCTGAAGGGGAGCTGCAGGAGGCTCAGATGGGTGCTCTGTATCCTCACTTTGCCTTTCTGACGCCATTGGAACAGATTCCCTTCAGCCAAATGAATGATGAGCTGAAGTACACCTCACAAAAGAACACAAAAGGTAACATCAGTACAGAACAAGAACAAAGCATGTGCTTTCAGGGTCACCATAATTCTCAGCAGGGTTTTCACTATCAGCAGTGAACAATAAAACCCGCATTTTTGGAGTTGTTCCTTCCCACCTGAGTTCAGAGGGCTGAAAGCTTTCTGCCCTGCTCATCATATATACCTGTAATTGGGGCCACATCAGAGGCAGTTTATGATTTTTGGGGTTTCTTAGCAACACTGACTTGTAACTGTTCTCAGAGTAGCATATTGACACTGACTGCATGGAGATGGAAGACATGCAATGAAGGCAGAGCTGATACCTCTGCTCTCAGCTGGTGTTTACTCCTTGTCCCTATTTCTCCCATGTTCCCCTCCTCACTTCTCAAATGATAGATAAAATGATTTATGTTTGGTTTTTTTTCATTGAATTTCCATTAAAATAGTTGAGTAGGCATGGTCTTGGGTTCTGACCTTTCAAAGTGTTTGTAAAGCAGACTCTTTCCTCATGTCTTCCTTGATGAGGAGTCAAGACAATACAGTAGGGACTACTGCTGTACTAACAAGTCAGATAACTAATCCTCATGGAAAACTTGCTTTTAACATTTTAAGCTACAGTTGCAGAGTTTTCTGGGGATTCAAAAGTGAAAGCAAATAATTTCTGTTTGGCAAGAAAGGTTGAGAGGTTTGTATGTCGTTCAGCACCAAAATAACTGTTCATGTGATTACACTGTCACTATTATTTGCATTGGCATGGAATGATAACGTTCCTCTAAAATCAAGCGAAACTCATCCCATGCTGAGGGAAGTTTACAACTTGGAAGTGCCTTTGCAAATACTTCATATGCCATATGCACATAGTGGCGGCTTTGTCCGTGCAAGAAAACCCCTGGCTCTGATTTGGTTGGAGTGGAGGGAAATCCCTCCAAGGCTAGAGTACTGTGCTCCGACAGGAGGCAGAGGTTGCAAGGAGCAGAAGGAGTCCTATGGGGATAAAAACAGTCTAGTACAGCTCCCTCTGCCAACTTGAGAGCTGTCTCCCAAGGTTAAGCATGTTATACTAGATCTACCTATCAGTCATCTAATCTAGCATCTTCTTTGGGAGAAAGCAGTACTTTATGTCTAAAACAAAGTGCAGACTTGCTAGCTGTAACTCAGCAAGTGCTTTCTGGAGAGCTTGGGCCAATTGAGGCATGGGTCCAGAGAATGGCCACAAAAAGGATCACAGGGATGGAGTACCTCTCCTATGAGAAAAGGCTGAGAGAGTTAGGGTTGTTCAGCCTGGAGAAGAGCAGGCTCCAGGAAGACCTTATTGCAGCTTTCAATTTCTTAGAAGGGGCCTATAAGAAAGAAAGGGAGAGACTTTTTAGCAGGGCTTGTTGCGACAGGATGAGGGGTGATGGTTTTAAACTAGAAGAGGGAGGTTAAGGCTGGACACGAGGAAGAAATTCTTTACAATGAGGGTGGTAAAATCCTGGCACAGGTTGCCCAGAGAGGTGGTGGATGCCCCATCGCTGGAGACATTCAAGGCCAGGCTGGATGTGGTTCTGGGCAACCTGATCTAGTTGAAGATGTCACTGCTCATTGCAGAGGGGGTTGGACTAGATGACCTTTGAAAGTCCCTTCCAACCCAAACTATTCTATGACCATGAAGTCCCGAGTTTCTCCGTGTCACTACAACCGACATGTCCTGCCAGGTCCATTCGGGAGCCTCGCTGTGAGGGTATGTCCAGCAGGCAGATGCCAAGAAGATGCAGGAGGCGGGCAGGAAAGAAACATTTCTTTCGGGGTTGTAATCATGCGCCCGCCGCGGGCCTGTTGGTGAGCTAACGCCTGCCCTCAGCACCCACCTCAGCGGCAGGTCCCGGGACCCGCAGCGCCTCGGAATGTCGCGCTGAGGGAAGCCCCCAACAAACCATCAAAATGGCGGCGTCACCGTGGCAACACGGCCAGCGACTGCCCGCGCTCC